TACCTAAAGCAAAACACCCTTTCAAGAGGCATAGCAATTAGGTTTCTCTTGACTTTTGCTCCCTTTTGCATTTGGCCTCATAATCTTTACCAGTATTGTTCCAGGCTCAATCGTTGCCTTCCCTTACTTGTGCTCAGTCTGCTTTTGATGAAATCTAACGAATAACAGCCAGCCAGCTAGATGACTTAAGATTCTCAAGACTGAGGGCTTGACTAAACTAATGGGGAAACTGTAACTGAGAGGATGTGAGACAAAATACCTGACACCCAAAGTTAAAGGGGAAAGGGTTTATTTAGCTCACAATTTGTAGAGGTTTCAGTCCGTAATCCGCTGTCTGCAAGGCAGAGTGGCATTGCAGGCAGGCATCACAGAGAAGAAACAGTTCATGGTGGACACGAGGTAGGAAAAAAAACAAGGGAACCTCAGCAGCATCTTTCTGCCCCTTTTATCTTATACAGACTACTGAGATTAGGGCAGTGTCAAACCAATCAGTGTACTGGTTTAGTAACCACTCACCCTTAATGCCAGCATCACACACTCTGGATTCAGCCACCTCTGAAAAAGCCACCTATGACTGGATGAGGCTTTAGGGAGACATCTAGACCCAAACCATAACAGAAGGTAAAGTGGGTCCTTAAGTAGTATGGACCTGAGTAGCCAGCAAAATGGATCATTTCCCCCCTACCATCTTGTTAGTTTCCTTCTTTTTTCCATCCCCTTTCTCTTCTCTAATAGTTTTCTCTCTACTTTCATGTCATCTCTCTTTAAAAATTTTTCCCCCTAGGTTTCTCATATGAGAGAAAATGTGTGATATTTGACTTTCTAAGTCTAGTTAATTTACTTAACATTATGGTCTCCCAGCTCCACCCACTTTCTTGCAAATGACATGATTTTGCTCTTCTTTATAGCTGAATGATATTCTATTGTGTATATATACTCTATATATCACATTTGCTTTATCCATTCATCTGTTGATGGGCACCTAGGTTATTTTGTATAGTTTGGCTATTGTGAATTGCACTGCAATAAACATGGTATTCAGATATCTTTATAGTATGCCAACTTTAATAACTTTTGGGAATATGCCCAAAAGTGGTATAGCTGAATCAAATACAATAATAGCTCTATATTTAGTATTTTTTGTGGAACTTTCACATTTATATCCATAATGGCTGTACTAATTTACATTCCCAACAACAGTGTAGAAGAATTTCTTTGCTCTCTATCCTTACCAGAATTTCTTTTGTGTGTATGTGTGCATGTACATGTGTGTTTTGTATTCTTGATGATAGATATTCTGACAGGGATGAGATAGAGTCTCAATGTACTTTCGATTTGCATTTCCCTGCTGGCTAAAAATGTTGAATATTTTTTTCATATACTTATTTGCCACTCATTCTTCTCCTTGTGAGAAGAGTTTGTTCAATTCATTTGCCCATTTATTGATTTACTTTGGTCTTGCTTTTTTGAGTCCTTTATATATTCTGCATATTAATCTCCTATTGGAAGAGCAGCTGGCAAAGATGATCTCTTGATCTGTCGGATGTCTCTTCATTCTGTTGTTTCCCTTGCTGTACAGAAGCATTTTAATTTGATGTAATTCCATTTGTTGATTGTTGCTATTATTTTCTATGCTATTGGAGTCTCAGTCAGGAAGTCCTTACCTCTGCCTATGTCTATGACCTCAATTGTTTCCCCTATCTTTTCCTAGCACTTTCAGTGTTTTAGGTCTTATACCTAGGTTCTTGGTCCATTTTGAGTTCATTTTTGTACAGAGTGGGGGATAGGGATCTAGTTTCAATCTTCTACCTATGGATATCCAGTTTTCCCAGAACTGTTTGTTAAAGAGGCTGGCTTTTCTCCAGTGAATATTTTTTGACCTCTTTAGAATCACATTGGTCCTCTGCATTCCTGAGCTAAAACTGGAAGTCTGAATTTCTAAATAATAAAATCAGAGCTCTTCGTTCTGGGGTGTCTTTTACTGTGCCATTTTTGAATCTCACCAAATACCTTCACTATTTTTTTTTCCTGCAGTAGAGGTTTATGTCTATGTCTATCTTCTCTAACATTTTTAACTGGGTTGTTCTGATTAATCTATTTGCTAATTGTCTCTCTTATTTCCTCTTTGTCCTATTGGTTTGCCTCACTTATTGTGGCTGAAGACTGGCCATTTGAATTCCATAAGTGGTCACTTTTCATGAGAGAGAGGCATCTCCATCCCTGTGTGCCTGCAGTGGCAATAGACAAACTGCTAGTTCTGCTTTCAGGCAGCCACTTCTGAACTCATTTCTCTGTGCTTTCCTATCCTCAAGATGGAAAAACTTAGCTCTATTTTAGTTTGGAGCCAGCCAGAGAGATATATTTCCTTGTGACGATACCAGCCCTGCTCTTAGGTATGCCCTATCTGAGTGCTCAGGTCCCCAGGAAAATCCATATTCTGCCTGTGGTTCTGGGGCAGGTGGGAGCTTTGGTCTCCTAGGCAGGTTTGGATCTTGGAATGCTGGCCTAACGCATAGGTGCCTGGGAGCTGGCCTGGTGGCTAGGTGTGTGAGTGGTGGCCTGGAGCTAGGTCCGAAAGGACTGGCTTGGGTCCTGGGGCTGTGGGGACTGACTTGGAACCTCGGTCCATAAGGTTGTTCCTGGAGCCTGGATTCTAGCCCAGTGTTGGGGTCTACTCAGCTGCACCTGGACACTGAGTCCACTGAAACAGGCTTGGATCCTAGGTCTGTTGGAGTTGGGGCTTCACATATTACCTTGGCAGGTCTGAAGCCTGTGTCTGTAGATGATGCCCTGCTGTCTGAGGCCTGAGTTGCTGACTGGGTACTGGGGTGTGCTTGAAATCTGAGGTTGTATGAGCTGATCTGGAGCCAGTCTGGTCTGGAGTCTAGGCTGGGCCTGGAATCTGAGTCCTTGGGGGCTTTTCTGGAGAATGAGACCACTGAGGATGGCTTGATATTGGGGCTCTAGAGACCTGATACTTAAGGCTATAGAGACTGGTCAGGTGCTGGGTTAACCTTCATCCTGCATCAGCAGGTACCTTTCTGGTACTGGTGTCTGTGGATGGTGGTCTGTGGCTGGGGATATCTTGAAAGCTGCTTCTGCTGGTTTGGGGCCTGTGATTGCCTAGGCCAGTGTGGTAACAGATATGGCCTGGATCCTATAGTCACCAGCGTTGGCCTGGCTCTGGGACCACTGGTGGGTCTGGAGCCTGAGTCTGGGAGATAGACTCGTGCTGGGCAAGGCCTGGAGGCTGTGTCGGTGAGTCCTGACCTGATTACTAGGGCTAAGGTGACTAAGCCTACCCCTGGGCAGGCCTGAAGCTTAGGGCCTTAGAAGCCAACTCAGTGCTAGGAGTGGCTTGGAGCTTGGGGCTGCTAGGGTTGGCCTGATCTTGGAATTTTGGGGACTGTCCTGGTGCTCAGGCAGGCTTGAATGCTAGGACCTCAGGTACCAGCCTGATAAACTAGGGTTGTGGAGGCTTGCTTGGGCCTGGGGCCACTCTGGAGTTTAGGATTGTTGGAGCCTCTTTTGAGATGGGAAGGACCTGAAGAGTAAGTCTGTGGAACCATCCTGGAGGCTGGTCTCCTGGGACCAGATGAGTGCTAAAGCCAGTCTGGAGCCAGGGGTTCCTGGGGTATGACTGTCACTGGAGGGGTCTGAGGAGGTCCCCCAAAGAGGAGACAGGGACCTCAACTTATACTTTCCCTCCACCGACTGGGTTTATTGACTTCTCATCACAGAAAAAGAATTTCAGGACATGTCAGTGAGAGGTATAGGGAAATTTGTTAGGCAGGGTTAATGAAGTACACACTCAGAGAAAATAGAGTTCAGGCACTTAAGAGAGAGATGCATTATGGCCTGGGGATCTTGGAGATATCTTTTAAGTGTTCTTGGAAGTAGCCTCTTAGATGAGCGATCTAAACTGTTTTGCCTGAAAACATTCTTTGGACCCTTTGAATTTGTTTCTTCGTCTTAAGATTGGGCTGCTGCCCATTACCTTATTGGCTAGGTTAATTTATGGACATATAGTGTCTCCAAGGGATTTGGGTGTGATAGCCTTGGAAGAAGAAGTAAACACTCAAACAGTGGCTACTAGTCTTGTAGGGTTCTATCTTTACTATTTCATTTAATCTTAACAGTAATAGTATGGTGCAGGTACTATTGTTACCCTAATTTTATACATAGCAAACTTAGAAAGCTCATATGGGCAAAGAGATGAGTCAAGATAACTGGTCTTTTAAAGACTATGCATCTAACCATTGTGTTATACTGTGGAAAAGGGGAAGTAAAAATGGGGAAATATGCTGTGAAAGGGCTATCAGTTAATATTAAATAAATGTAAGCATAGAATGAGGTCTATAAATTATAGAGATTTTATTTAGAATTCAGAATTTAATTGATTAAAAAAAATCATATAATATAAAGGTAATGATTTCTTGGTAATATCCAGGGGCAAAAATCTAGGAATGTAGAACAAAATGGAAGGGAGAATATAAGTGGCAGAGGGAAGAAGGAAGTCGTAAAAATAAAATAAATTTATAGTCTTTCATAAGAAGTGTCAACATATTTTTGTTTTTTTAAATTTGAAATTCCATAACATAGATATAAGACTATTGCTTAAAACCATAAGAAAGAAATAAAACAGTCTAACTACTGCAGGAGACAATAAAAGGGAAAAATGATAACAGAGTAGATGAATAGGACAAAAATAGTAACAGTGAAAAATGAGACAGGAAATGATTATTTCAGGTGGTGCAACGTTTAACTGTGCACACTGGGAAGAAACCTGTGGTGTTGGTGTAAGAGAGTAGAACAAAGAAAATACAGACCATAGATGTACAGGAATAAATAACATAGTTTTGTGTATTTTATTTTTCATTGTCATTCTAGCCAGGGAGAGAGTGGTACTAGGCTCCCTTTAAGTTAGTGTTCAGAACTCTGCATTAAATTCAAATACTTGGCAACACAAATTTATTTCCTACCACTTAGTGTCTGATTCATTACGGAAAATAATGTAGGCATTTCCCTAATGTCCTCTTCACAGCTGCCTTCACCTCTTGGTTCTTTAGGCTGTAGATGAGGGGATTCAGCATGGGTGTGACTGCACTGTACTGCAGGGAGGACAGCAAATCTAAGGAGGAACCAGAAGTGGGCATAAGATAGCGAACCAAACCTGACCCAAAGAACAGGATCACTGCAATAAGATGAGAGGAACAGGTGTTAAATGCCTTGCTTCTGCCTGTGGTGGAGCTCATGCTCAGGATAGTGGACACAATACGAGCATAAGAGAAAAAGATGGGGAGAAAGGTTCCGAGCCCATGCAGTAAGGTGGAGCAGATCAGGATGTCAATATTGATGGAGATATCAGAACAAGATAGAGGAAAGAGAGAAGGCAGCTCACAGGTGTAGTGGTATATGGTTCGGGCCTCACAGAAGTCTAGATTAACAGCCAAGAGCACAATGACTACTGAATTGAGAGACGCTAGGCCCCATGAGAGCAGCACCAGCTTCACACAGAGCTCATTGCTCATCATCTGGCCATAGAGCAATGGGTAGCAGATGGCAGCATAGCGGTCATAGGCCATCATTGAAAGAAGAAAGGCTTCAGTCCCGGCGGTGATAAACACAAAGAAGACCTGAGTCAGGCAGCCCTCTACTGAGATAGTTTTCTTCTCAGAAAGGAGATCCTCCAGCAGCTTGGGCACAGTGACTGAAGAGAAGCAGAGATCCAGGAATGATAGGTTGCTCAAGAAGAAGTACATGGGGGTGTGGAGATGGAAGTCAACCCTGATCACCAGCAGCATTGTCAAGTTCCCTATCAAGGTCAGGATATAAATCCCTAAGAACAGCACATAGAGCAGAGCCTCTATCTGGGGACTGTCAGAGAGTCCGATGAGAATAAACTCAGTGATGGTGCTGTGGTTCCTCCATGCCATTGTGGACGATACTTCTCTGGAATGAAATAGAGAGAGGGATGAGTACTCCTGCACTTGTTCCTGGCTGCCTCTGGGTATCACTTGTCACCCATTCCTCTCTGCCTTCCCTTGACTTGTCCCATTTTGTTATCACTGACCTTGCATCGTAGTCTTCACATACTTTAGAGAATTCTATTCTTTCTTCACCAGATTGGGGGTCACAATTCCTCCATTCCTAAGGGAGATGTATTTAATATTTTTGAGATCAGAAGAAAAAAAGCCAAATATGATCAGAGTGTATTACATTTGTCTTTATAGTCACACAATCACAACATACATTTTCCTTTTTTTGAGTGGAAAAAGTGGTCCACAAATGTAAAAGTGACCAGTGCCTATGGACATCATAACGTGGTCCTGCTCCTTGCTTCACAGACAGCAGGTTCAAATTTAACAGGACTTTTATATTTCTGACTTCAACAGGGCCTTGTCGTACACAGAGCACTCCCTCAATCACCGTCTCAGCTTCAAGGAGATTCTGTGAGACTTGTCAGAAAATTCTCACCCCTGAAACAAGGTGTTTGAGTCCCATTTCTCCTGTGAAAAGTCTGATATTCAGGAACATTTTGTAATGTCATGTTGACAACAAGTAGGGAACCAGAAAAAAAACTATAAACTTTTTTTCTGATTATCATTTCAATATCTAGCCTTACTCCATGGTGATGATAATAATTTTCTTACTTTTTTTTGGCTTAAATCCTTTTATTGGTACCTTTTAGGTGTACAATACGTTTACGTTTATCACTGGGCTTGGACCTGTACATGATGCATCTTGGTTCTTATTTTTTCCCCCATTACCTGTCCTCCCTTCACCCCCTCCACCCTTCCCTATTTATAAAGACTTTGTTCCCATTGTTTCCTTTTCTCATAATTTTTCCTTTCCATTCTTTCCTTTGCCCTTCCCCTCCCACTTCTTCTACCCCTTTGGACCTTTTCTTCCTATTTCAAATGATCAATTATTCATTTTAATCCTTATTTACACTTTCAGTTTCTCACACTAGAGAAACTATTCGATATTTACACATGTGTGTCCTATTTATTTCACTTAAGAGTATGTCCTCAATATGCATCCATTTAGCTATAAATGTCTCTAGTTTCTCATTCTTTATGGCCGAGTAGTACTCCATTTTATAAAAAAACCACATCTTTGTCCAGTTTCCAGTTGATGGGCACTTGGGCTGTTTCCAAGCTTTAGCTATTACAAACTGTGCCGCTATAAACATGGGTGCACATATATCGCTGTGGTATAATTCTTTTAATTCTTTGGAGAAGATACCCAGCAGGGGAATAGCGGGGTCAAATGGAACCTCTGGTCCTAGTTCTTTGAGGTATCTCCATACTGATTTCCACAGTGGTTGCACCAGTCCACACTCCCACCAACAACGGAGAAGGGTTCCTTTCTCTGCACAACACTGCCAGCATTCGTTATTGGTTCATTTCTTGACAGTAGCCATTCTTTCTGGGGTGAGGTGGAATCTCAGTGTTGTTTTCATCTGGATCACTTGAATGACCAGTGATGTTGAACATTTTTTGATATATTTATTTGCTGCTTTTACTTCTTTGTCTGAGAAATGTCTGTTCATTTCAGATGCCCATTTTTGAATTGGGTCTTTGAATTTGGGGGGTCTGATTTTTTTCAGTTCTTTATATATTCTAGATAGTAGACCTTTGTCTGAGGTGCAGCTGCTAAAATTTTTTCCCACACTGTAGGTTGTCTCTTAGCTCTGTTGGTGGTTTCTCTTGCAGGCAGAAACTTTTTAATAAGATGAGATCCCAGTTGTTGATTCTTCATGCTAATTAATTTTCTTACTTTGACATTCAGAGTTCTTTCCCATCTGCCCTTGACATTTCAGCCATTTGTTTGCTTTTGATACCAAAATGGTCTATTTGTTTCTGTGTCTGTGTTCACATTTTTTCCCACTTTAAATATCTTCCTCTTAATTCCACTAATCTAAACTTTCAAGAGCTTTCCAATGTCACCTTTAAATCTGTTTTTTCTCCAAGCCTATCTTTCCAGTTCCCTTCTCTAGCTCTTTGCCTCTCTTGTCTTATGCCATACTCTGAGTTCTGCTTCTTTTCTCATGTTACACATGTACCTCAGTTTTCTCCTTTCAGACTATGAGCTCTTTGAAGACATGGAGCGCAACTTAACAACAATCCAATCAGCACCTTGTTTTAGTTTCAGTTTATTCCTGTCAGATGATTCTGAAAGCCTGTATTTGTCATGTCCTGTGTGTTTCAGACAAGCACAGCATCACCCTTTCACGCCAGTACCTCTGATACCCTAATGCCCAGAAGAAAGAAGCACTGCTAATATTGTGTATCAAAGTTGCCATGCTGCCTATTCATGTTGTAGTGGGGCTACTGCTGCTGAATTTTAGGAATGCTTTTTTGGGGGCAGCATGTGTCCTTTCATGTCACTGCAACATCCTCTGATGCTCTTGTTTTTGTCGGATCTACAGACACTTTTGCTATTCTTTCAGGATGCTACTTGCATTCATGTTGTAAACACATTATTCTTTTATCATCTTATGAGGATCCGAGTGAACAGTCTTACAGTTTTCTTTAAAAAATTTCTTGCTTCCTTTTACTCTAGGTATAAAGTGTGCGTCTAAGAAGACCAGGATTATAAAGTTTATGTTAAAGATGATAAGATACTTAAAGTAATTTTGAGCCCTAGTTTATGGGGATATATAGTAAGTCATGGTCCTAAGTTAAGACTCCTGTTTTACTTGCCTTTTTCAGCTGAATTTACCAGCATTCTGTTTTTTTTTTAGCTTCTACAATTTGTTTCTATGGTAGGCTTTTGTGCTCACAAAGTATTTAATCTTGCTGATCCAGACAGTCCTGATTTTGACCCTTTTGGCCTTGCCAGTGTTCTGTAACCAAGTGCTAACTCATCAAGAGAAGCTTAAATTCTGATCCCATTTACAAATACATTAGCCCAAGCTCAAGTATATTTTAGATTCAAGACTAGGTTACCTGTATGGTTGAACAAACAGGCAGTGTTCTCCGTTGTGTACTACCAGGTGAATAACATGATCCAATGACGGTGAAGTTACTTGCTGCACAAGTTACTTTTGAAGATCCTGTATGGGTAGAATTGGAAATATTATTGAAAGCAACACTTGTTTTTTGGAAACATGTACAAGTGAAGTCAAATAATAAATGGAAGCGATTTTCTCCAAAGATTTGGATTTCTCAAGGCATTTACAGATGGAGCTACCCTGAAAATTCCTTCTGTTCTTCCACTTTCTCTCATGAGAGACCTGACCACAGCATCCATAAGAGCTTTAAGCTCTCATGTTTAAAACACTGTTAGTCAAAAAAGATTCTTATAAAGAAGAAATAGATAGTAGAGAATCTTTTTTGTCTATGTTTTGTACTGAGTAGCTACTTTGAAGATAATGATACACAGTACATTTATTGTTATTGTCTTATTTTGCTATGAAATTTTGTTTTATTTTAGCTGGGCGTGGAGGCACATGCCTGTAATCCCAGCACTTGGGTGGCTGAGGCAGGCAGATAACTAGGAGTTTGAGACCACCCTGTGCTGCATACTGAATTCAAGACCAGCCTGAACTATAATGCAAGACCCTGTCTCAGAAAACCAAAAAAAAAGGAACTAGGGATTTAGCTCAGTGGTGCCACTGCCTGCCTCGAAAGTGCAAGGTCCTGAGTTCGATCCCTGGTACCAAAAAAATTTTTTTTTGTTTTATTTTTTCATAAAATAAAAAAATTATTAAAAAAGCCTTGTCTCAAAATAAAAAATAAAAAAAGGCTGGGGATTTGGCTCAGTGCAGAGAGGCCCTGGGTTAAATACCCAGTATAAAAACAAACAAACAAACAAAAAAAAGAAAAGGAAAAGAAAGAAAGAGAAGAAACAAAAAACACTGTAAAATTTCTGAAGGCGCTCTCTCTGTCCTACCTTATATCTACATTTTGTATGAATGAAAGCTGCAGCTCCTTATCTCATTTGATTTTTAACTATCACAAAGAAAGTAGGGCCAGGGATTTAGCTCAGTGGTTCCAGCGCCTGCCTCGAAAGCGCAAGGTCCCGAGTTTGATCCCTGGTACCAAAAAATAAACAAAGCAGTCTTTTTATCCCTCTATTCTAAATAGCACTTCTAACTAATATCTGAATTTCTTTACTGGTCAGTACCAAATGTCATTTATATCCTGTTAGGTATTTCAGAGCCCCCACAGAGCAAGCCCCCTCCTCTCCTTCCCCTTTGCCCCACCCCGGCCACAAGGAACAGGGAGCTTCCGCATAGCTAAGGCCTGACCTCCCTTTGTTAGTGACTTTCTGCCTAGTTAAGGTCTTTCTGCCCACTGGTTTCATGGTCAGATGTTCCAGTGAGACAGGGGCTTCCCGAAAGCGGTGACTCCATCCCCCCGACCGAAACCTGTTGCTACATACCCCAGCCCCAATTACCCACCTCCCCCTACCAGTGGACTAGTGCTCTCCCTCCTGCAAAGTCCCATATAAACCCCAGCTCAGCCCATACAGTTGCTGATCTCCATCCTGTGAATCAGTCCCGGCAGGCTGCAGACTGCCGCCCCAATAAAGCTTGCTTGGACGTCCCTGTGTGCCCCCTTCTTTGGCCACCTTTCATATCCCACATCAATTAAACATAAAAAAATAAATCAACTTGCAGGCACTCTTCAGAAAGGAAAATATTGATTCATTTCATCTTTAGATATAAAAGACTGATATCAGATTTTAAATATGAGGTGAGAACAGGGAAAGACTGAAGAGAAAGATAAGGAAATTTATCCCAGAGGGGTAGATGATGTAAAATAATATTTCAGATGGTCCTAGATAAACATCTGTGTCACCATTTTGCCAACATAGATCCTTCATGTCAATGGCATACCTGGTCATTTGATCAATTTCTCTTACAAAGTATGAAGCAGGCTATTGGCTCTCTGTATTTCAGAAAGAACATTAAAATAAACGACCTCTAATTTTCTCTTAACACAAAAAATTATAGATTCATTTCACTGATGTAAGAATCAAGTCAAAGTTAAGAACAGCTTTGATATATCAGTTACCAGATCTTGCCCAAAGTGTCAGCTGTTTGATAGCAGATTTCTTAAAAATGAGAGATGTTTTAGGCACTGGGCAAAGTGCCTTTCTCAAACTG